GCAGCGTAGTCAGATAATCCGGGTCAGAGCTGGAGCAGGCAGAAGGTCAAACAATCCGGGTCTATAATCACAGGGCACAGGAAACTTCAGGTAACAGGTCAGACCTTGCGGCGATTTGTGACAGTGCAGGGCATCTTTAAATATCGCGCCCTGCACTGTCATTGGCCGCCTAGGACGCGCCCCCAGGCTGTCATTGGCTGCCCAAGGCGCGCCCGCGGCTCCTACTGCGCATGCGCAGCATCCTGTCAGCCGCGGCCCGCCGGGACCTGGTGCTTGTGTCCCAGCGTGAGCTGCCGCTAGTGCGCGTGCGCCGGGAACGGAGCCACGGCGGTCCATGACATATATATATATATATATACATATATAAATAAATAAATATGTATGTGTATATATATATATATATATATATATATATATATATATATATACTGCATGTTGAAATGCATTTTTATTACAAAATATATGAAAAATATTTTTAAAATACATCTCAAATACACTGTATGTCTTTAAAATATATATATATATATATATATATATATATGTGTATATATTAAAAAAAAAATATTTTTTTTTCTAAGCTTAGAGATCATAGGACTTCAGCTCTGCTAGCTTCACCATTTGGAGATCATAGGACTTCAGCTCTGCTAGCTCCACAGCTTAGAGGTCACAGGACATCCTCACCACTCTCTTAGCATATCATTATGCTCATCACTTGCACCTTGCTGCTCCCTCCTGCCCCACCTGCATTCTCCCTTCTCATTTGATTGACAACTGCATGTAGTAAAATAAATAACAAATGATAAAAGAGTAGGAGAGGTGGAAAAAAAAAAAGTCTAACAGCAATTTTATTCCTCCACTGCACTATCCAAAATGAAAAACAAAAGGGTCACTGAGGGGTTTTTTTTATACACAATGATGTGATTAAAATAAAATTCAAAAAAATATTTTTTTTAATTGAAATTACGTATAATACCGTTTAATGTGGCAATTGTGACTTCTGGTCTCTGCTGAAGATCTAGTATAAAAGAAAGATTAAAAAAAAAAAAAAACACAAAAGTTAAAAAAAAACAAAAGTTCACAAAAAGTAAAGTCTTTTTTAAATTTAAAACAGAATATATTGTGGGACTATAATTTTGACACAATTTCCATAACTTAATTGTTTACCCAACTCACTGAGGGCGGGGAGGTCGCTCATCCAGCATTGCACAAGTCAACTGAGTAGAATCGAGTCCAAGCTCAAATAGACTGATAATAGACACAAAAAATTCCTTTACTAGCTCAGTTGCCCGGGGGAAATACTGTCAATTTATTAAATATTTCTGGATTTCCACTAATCACAAATTGGTCCAAACCTGAATCCAATATAATCTTAGGTTAAAAAGTCCACTCGGCTCTACAAGTAAAACTGCACATTGGTTCAAGAACTCTGTAACAGTTGGAAGTTTCACCATGTGGGGGCACTATAATATTTTAAAGTTGGTAATCAAGCTGAAAACATACATGGACTCTTTCATAAGACAATTTGGAGGCTGCCATTGCTAAACAGAAACATTGCGTAATCCATTGACCTGGAACTGTTATAATAACAAGGTTTTATATTAAAAAAAACTGAAGAAAACCAGATGCACAAAGTAAATCCCATTCTATAAAAGCTTTATTGTTCTGGGTGAACAACACAATGCCTACCTAAGACCTCCTCCTCTGATGCCTTTTTGTCAAAAGAATGCTTTATTGTTTCAGGCAAAAAAACATGGTGCCCACCTAAGACCTCCTCCTTGGATGCCTTTTTACCAAAAGAAAGCTTTTTTGTTCTGGGCAAACAACACAATGCCTGCCTAAGACCTCCTCCTCTGATGCCTTTTTGTCAAAAGAAAGCTTTATTATTCCAGCCAAACAGAACAATGCCCACCTAGGACCTCCCCTGATACCTTTTTACCAAAAGAAGGACTAGATCATAGGGAATTGTAGAGGGCTTAGGAGTGGTGGATATTCATACACAGCATGCTTGTTCCATGTCTGGCACTCAAAAGCACCTAACAGGCAAGTAGCATTTTCAAAAGGACTTTATTGCCAGTACCTTTTTCAGCTTTGATCTCTAGAAAGGTTTCATTGATCCCATATTTATTTGATGCAAAACATCTGTAAATGTCGGCCTCATTGATGGTGACAGTAGACCAAATCATCCCTTCACCGATATTGTTTTCTTGAGTTCTATGATTGCTCTTCCTCCAGACCACACTAGCTGGCGGATTGGCCTCCACTGAGCAGTTTAGGATCAAAAACTCCTTCTTTTTAATAACTATAGAGCCATTAAGGTCAATGTTTCTTCCTAAATAAAAAAAAAAACATGCATTAAAAGGCGGCGTTGGAACAGCATGAGTCGAGTTAAGTAGGAGGAAAGTACCAACTCATAAAAAAACTGGATTCAGAAAAGTATACAAACATACAATCAACATTTTCATTGACTATAGATCAATGTAACATATTTCCATCATTTAGGAAAGATAGGTGTTTTGTAGCATTTTTTTAGCTACACATAAAAATTACATATAACATACCAGTAGATGAAGAAATGGTGATCTCCATTTTTGCAGGGGGATCTACAAAAAATAATACAGTAGGAAAGTTACAAATACAATATAGCCCAGTGTTTCTCAACCAGAATTCTGTGGAACCCTAAGGTTCCTACTGAGGGTGCTAAGGTCTTCTTCAAACATTGAGTGATGGTGGATTGATTTTTCACCCACACTGACCAACAATGAGGGGAGGGGGGGCAATTGTCTACTAGCCACCAATGCAAGGGGTCACGTCTATACTAACTGTTGGAGGTCCCCACAACTTTTACTGCCTGCCTTTCTTTTCTGAAGTTATTATTTATGTCAAGAACATTACTGAAATTAATTTTGTAGGAAAATTATCAGCCCTGGGTGTCAAATATGATAGGTACACTTTAACAACTTCCCCTCCGGCTGTTGTATATAAACAGCCGGACAGTGGCAGTGCAGGGTCAGGTGGCCGTTTATAAATGGCCTCCCCACCCCCTGCTTGTGCGCGCAGGTGTCCTCCGGACATAGTGGAACACCGATCGTCAGACGGGACCTCTGTGTGAGGTCCTGATCATGTGATCACTGATTGGCCAATCAGTGATCACATGCAGAGTAGTAAGCAAGATGTCACTTCTGACATCATTGCTTACTACATGTGAAATCTGTGAATGATCACAGAGGTCACATGGTACAAGGCTATTCACAACAGCCTTGTACCATTTGACAAGCTGTCACCAATCACAGCTCACACAGTATTTCTCAATGGCTGCAAAAATGCAGCCAAAGAGAAGGAGAAATAATTGCTTTTACAGCCTTTATGGATGTAAAAGCATCAATTCCTAGATTGTAAGCTCCAAAGAGCAGGCCCTCAATCCCCTCATGTTTTGCATTGTATTGGTATTGTTCTGTCACATGTTCTGTCCCCCTTTGTAATGTACAGCGCTGAGCGAACTATTGGTGCTTTATAAATACTGTATAATAATAATAATAATAATAATGTAAAAAAAAAAAAATCTTCATCACCCCCCACACTATGGTGACACTGTACTGCTAGGGTGAGAGTATGTTAAAAACATTAATATAAAAAAATAAAATAATGTAAAAAAAATGTTTAATTATAATTTTTGATTATAAACTAATTTGGGTTATTTTTTTTTTTTACTAAAAAGATACCGGAATAAATGTTGGCCAAGATTTATGATGAAATATTATTTATTTGCAAAATTTTATAAGAAAAACACTTTTTTTCAAAATTTTTGGACTTTTTCATTTACATAGCAAAAAGAAATAAAAATCCCAGTGGTGAATAAATACCACCCAAATAAAGCTTTATCTGTCTCAAAAAATGCTAAAAAAGTCATAAGGGTACAGTGTTGCATGACCGTACAATTGTCATTCAAAGTGTGATAGCGCTGAAAGCTGAAAATTGGCCTGGGCAGGACGGGGGGGGGGGGGAAAGTGTCCGGACTGGAAGGGGGTGAAAGTGTCCGGACTGGAAGGGGGTGAAAGTGTCCGGACTGGAAGGGGGTGAAAGTGTCCGGACTGGAAGGGGGTGAAAGTGTCTGGACTGGAAGGGAGTGAAAGTGTCCGGACTGGAAGGGGGGGAAAGTGTCCGGACTGGAAGGGGGTGAAAGTGTCCGGACTGGAAGGGGGGAAAGTGTCCGGACTGGAAGGGGGTGAAAGTGTCTGGACTGGAAGGGGGGGGAAGTGTCCGGACTGGAAGTGGTTAAAAAGTTCTTCATGCTAATTTTTCCATGAGCTGTAGGCAAAATTTATTTTAGCAGGGGTTCCCAGAGAACCTGGAGATTATGTTAAGGGTTCCTCAGGGTTAGGGTTTAGAAAGGCCGATATAACCCATCAGCTCAATTTACTGCGATACATCAACTCAGAATCAGATAGCAAGTTCTGCAATAATTGAAAAGATATTTTCAATATTTTGTTAAAGATCTAAAAAAAATATCACTAGTGATGGTTAGCCATACCATCAGGAATCAGGACCACTGTAAAATACAAGTCAGAGAACATTAGGGGTGTTTTCACTACTCTACTTTACTTAAATAAATACCTTCTACCAGGGGCGGACTGACCATTTGGGCATTCGGGCATTACCTGAGGGCTAGGGGTAAATAGGGGGCCCCATGACATGCCCCTAGTACCTTTTATAGGCTTTTTTGGGTGTGCTTTGAGTGTGGGCAAGGACACAGGGGCCCCATGATCCCCTATTGCCCGGGGGCCCCATGAGTTGTCGGTCCGCCCCTGCCTTCTACTATTTCCCATTGCTTTTTCAGCATAAGAAAATGCCCATAATTGGGTTAAGATCAGAACTCTAAAAACTCAAAGAAAACAGTGATAGCACAGTGTACACCAGGGCTTAAAATTTCAAGTCCTGAGCTACTAGCCAGGCCTTAGAGTTACTCGCCACCAACAAACACACACAGAGACACCTGTACACACACACACAGACATGTACATATACACACACACACACACACACACATACACACACACACAGAAACATGTACACACACGCACAGAGACATATGTACACACATACAGACACATGTAAACACACACAGGCATGTACATACACACACACATACAGGGGCGGACTGACCATTTGGAAACTCAGGCACTGCCCGAGGGCCCAGGGTCAGTAGGGGGCCCTATGAGATGCCCCTGGTACCTTTTTCAAAGGTTTTTTTAAGTTTGGGCAAGGACACAGGGGCCCCATGATCCCCTATTGCCCTGGGGCCCGATGAGTTCTCAGTCCGCCCCTGCACACACACACACACACACACACAGAAACATGTACAGACACGCACAGAGACACATGTACAGACACATGTATACACACACAGGCACATACAGACACGCATACACACAAATACAAGTACATACACAGAAATACACACGTACAGACACATGTACATACAGACAGACACATGTACATACATACACAGACACATGTACTTACGTACACACACACATGTACATACACACAGACACATGTACACAAACACAGACACATGTACACACACACATACATGTACATACACGCAGACACATGTAGAGAGAGATACACACATGTACATACACACAGACACATGTACAATTGTACATGCATACACAGACACACACACATGTACACATACACACACACACACACACACACCCCATAAAAAGTTGCAGTACTTCATTGTTCACTCATAGATGCGGGTACTGCACTCTAGGGGGAGGCAGAGAGCACAGCACACACTCCTTGCTTTGCTTTCGCTGCGCTCAGCTATTGAGCAGTCTGATGGCTCCCAGTGCCAATGACAGATCCGGCCTGAGTTCCGAGCCTGCTCAGCAAGACGGCCCTGGGGGACACACTTGCCCCCACCATAATTTCCACTCGCCATTGGCGAGCAGGCGAGTGGAAATTTCAAGCCCTGGTGTACACTACAAAAGTCAAAGACAATGAAGATTAATGTGTACATATGAAGGATGCGAAAGTAGATACATACAGCTAACGCTGAGGATATGCCTTGCAGTAACTATCTTCCCAGTTAAGGTGATCACTTCACAGGTAACAGATTTCTGATGGTCATTGTGAGTCGGAGTAAAGGACAAACTGGCTAACTTCATCCACGTCCCAACAACATTACTCTTTTTCCATTGTACGGGGGGTTTCTTAGGGCAATTTCCAGGTGGTACACATGCCAGCTTCACGTCCTTCCCTGCGATCAACTCATCTGGCATCCAGATCTTAGGCTTCTCCTTGAGATCTGTGGGAGATACAGAAGATAACATGTGACATCATCAGTATATATAAAATGGAGCAAATACACAACAGTTAACCGATTGGTCTTGCAGGGCTTTGGTCCTGGGATTAGTTCCCTCCAGTGGTCTGTTTTTATGTTCTCCCTGCATTTGTGTTTAAGAATGATGGAACTTTTGCACATTAGGACCCAGTTCACACCAATGCGGTGCGGGAAACGCTGCTAAATCCTGTGCGCTTCCCGCACCATATTACGTTTATGCGATCTGGTGTGGTGTCAATGATAAATGAATGACACCCCAAAGCAGATCGCCAACACGATACGATTGCCAGAAAGGGACCTGCGCCTTTTTGGTGCAGATGCAATGCAATTTGAGCCATACAGAATGTATGGCTCCAATCGCACCGCACAGTCATGTATTTTGCACAGGAATGCGCTACGATTCCTGTGTGAATTACATGTAGTGTCCCGCAACGCATAGTGTGAACCCGGGCTAAGGCTACATGTACATATGACATCCTCTAGACGTGTCAACAGAAAAACGCTAAATGCGGCAAAAATGCATGTAAACGAGGTACAAACATTTAGCCCTGTTTAGTGCTCAGACCATTATTCATTTTACTGGCCAGAGTACTTTCCACTGAAATGAATAAACGCCCAACTACTAAACGCGGCTAGCGTGTTTATACGCGTTTTTGCCACATTTGGCCTTTTTTGGCCAAAACGTTCCTTTCCAGAACGTGATTCTTCTGCTTTCAGATGAGGAACATTTAACTGCCCCTAAACTCTGCTGCTTTTAAACACTGGTAGGTGAAACAGGAAGGTGCTTCTAAGTGTCGTATTCCAGGTCAACTTTAATAAAAAGCGGTTAAAAACACTTGCAATGTAGTAGTAAAGAGTTCCAGAGGATGGGGGAAGCTCTGGAGAAGTCCTGGAGACGAGCATGGGAGGAGGAGACAAGGGAGCTAGAGAGCAGGAGGTCCTGGGAGGAGCAGATGGTTTGGATGATATTTGGAGACGAGATTGGTGATGTAATTTGGGGAAGAGTTATAAATGGCTTTATATGTTATTGTCAATGTTTTGAATTTTATCCGTTGGGCAATGGGAAGCCAGCGGAGGGATTGGCAGAGAGGGGTGGAGGACACTGAGTGGAGGCCTGTGGAGGGATTGCCAGAGAAGGGTGGAGGACACTGATCGGAGGCCAGTGGAGAGCATGGCAGAGAGGGGTGGAGGACATTGAGTGGAGGCCAGTGGAGGGATTGGCAGAGAGGGGTGGAGGACATTGAGTGGAGGCCAGTGGAGGGATTGGCAGAAAGGGGTGGAGGACACTGAGTGGAGGACAGTGGAGGGATTGGCAGAGAGGGGTGGAGGACACTGAGTGGAGGCCAGTGGAGGGATTGTCAGAGAGGGATGGAGGACACTGAGTGCAGGCCAGTGGAGGGATTGTCAGAGAGGGATGCAGGACATTGAGTGGAGGCCAATGGAGGGATTGACAGAGAGGGATGGAGGACACTGAATGGAGGCCAGTGGAGGGATTGGCAGAGAGGAATGGAGGACACTGAGTGGAGGCCAGTGGAGGGATCGGCAGAGAGGGTGGAAAACACTGAGTGGAGGCCAGTGGAGGGATTGACAGAGAGGGATGGAGGACACTGAGTGGAGGCCAGTGGAGGGATCGGCAGAGAGGGGTGGAAAACACTGAGTGGAGGCCAGTGGAGGGGTTGGCAGAGAGGGATGGAGGACACTGAGTGGAGACCAGTGGAGGGATTGACAGAGATGGATGGAGGACACTGAATGGAGGCCAGTGGAGGGATTGGCAGAGAGGGATGGAGGACACTGAGTGGAGGCCAGTGGAGGGATTGGCAGAGAGGGGTGGAAAACATTGAGTGGAGGCCAGTGGAGGGGTTGACAGAGAGGGATGGAGGACACTGAGTGGAGGCCAGTGGAGGGATCAGCAGAGAGGGATGGAGGACACTGAATGGAAGTCAGTGGAGGGATTGGCAGAGAGAGATGGAGGACACTGAGTGGAGGTCAGTGGAGGGATTGGCAGAGAGAGATGGAGGACACTGAATGGAGGCCAGTGGAGGGATTGGCAGAGAGGAATGGAGGACACTGAGTGGAGGCCAGTGGAGGGATCGGCAGAGAGGGGTGGAAAACAATGAGTGGAGGCCAGTGGAGGGATTGACGGAGAGGGATGGAGGACACTGAGTGGAGGCCAGTGGAGGGATTGGCAGAGAGGGGTGGAAAACACTGAGTGGAGGCCAGTGGAGGGGTTGGCAGAGAGGGATGGAGGACACTGAGTGGAGACCAGTGGAGGGATTGACAGAGATGGATGGAGGACACTGAATGGAGGCCAGTGGAGGGATTGGCAGAGAGGGATGGAGGACACTGAGTGGAGGCCAGTGGAGGGATTGGCAGAGAGGGGTGGAAAACATTGAGTGGAGGCCAGTGGAGGGGTTGGCAGAGAGGGATGGAGGACACTGAGTGGAGGCCAGTGGAGGGATCAGCAGAGAGGGATGGAGGACACTGAATGGAAGTCAGTGGAGGGATTGGCAGAGAGAGATGGAGGACACTGAGTGGAGGTCAGTGGAGGGATTGGCAGAGAGAGGGATGGAGGACACTGAGTGGAGGCCAGTGGAGGGAATGGCAGAGAGGAATGGAGGACACTGAGTGGAGGCCAGTGGAGGGATTGTCAGAGAGGTATGGCAGATACGAAACGGTTAGTAAGGTGGATGAGTCTGGCAGCATTGTTTTCTTTACATTTATTTATTTATTTCTGCAATATAGAACACAAACTACCCAATAAGTGTCATGATGCTGAAACATACCGTTAGTCCTTAATAACAGATCCGAGTATTGAGGAAACATACCTGTCACCTGCACTGACACCGAGGAGTGCACATAGTCCACCGGGCTTGCTGAAGGCTCTTTAAATCTAAAAAAATAGCTCCCAGAATCTTCTTTCTTGGCACCAGATATGGTCAGGGTGCAGTCTCCATTATTTGGGTTTCCTCTTAACAAGAAGTTTGTTTTTTTTCCAATATCGGATGGATGGCTAGACGCCGCGGTAACATTTTTATTTGTGATCCAAAGTCCTGTGGCATTCCTGAATTTGCTCTTATAATGAGCGGTAAAATTACAAGGTATGGTGACGCATAGACCTTCCTGGACTGTAACAGATCGACATACTTGTATGGAAATTTTATCGGAAGACTGACACTTCATTCCTGTAAAGATAACCATTGTATGGATGTTCATTGAACATGCTAACGTGTCCCATGTCACAAAATAAAATTTTTTTTTTTTTTTTTTTTTTTTACGAATGCCGCCATTCAAATCACATTTTTTAACATACTGTCACCCTATCAGTACAGTGACACCATGGTGGGGGGTGATGTGATGAAGATTTTTTTTTTTTTTTTACACTGATTGCTTTTACACCCATAAAGGCTGTAAAAGCAATCATCTCTCCTTCTCTCTGGCTACATTCTTGCAGCCATTGAGAAATACTGTGAGAACTGTGATTGGTCACAGCTTGTCACATGGTACAAGGCTGTTGTGAATGGCCCTGTACCATGTGACCTCTGTAATCATTCACAGATTTCACTAGTAGTAAGCAATGATGTCAGAAGTGACATCTTGCTTACAAGTATTCATGTGATCACTGATTGGCCAATCAGTGATCACATGATTGGGACCTCACACAGAGGTCCCGTACAGTGATCGGTGTGCCGCGCAGGGAGCACGCACAATCCAAAATGGCAGGAACCGTTTATGAACGGGAACCCACCCCTGCACTGCCACTGACCAGCCATTTATATACAGCGGCCAGACAGGTAGTGGTTGATATGTTTATTTCCTATGATCATCAGCTCCATCTAGTGGTCATAATATTTTCCTGACTGAGATACAGCATGTCAGGAAAATACAGCATTATGACCACTAGATGATGCTGGAGATCCTTGGAAATAAACATATCAGACACATTACAGGGATTATTCGTGAGGGCTGAGAGAACCCATATGGAAGAGAAATATATTTTCAATATATTAAAAAAAAAATGATACATGCGACATATATTTACAATATATTGGCCTACACTAATATATTTTAACATGTATTCCAAAAATGTAAATTAAAATATATTTTCCAAAGGCAGATGTTTAAAAATATATTTTTCAAAATATATTTTCCAAATATTTTTGAACATCCAAAAAAATTCATTTAAACATAGATTTTTTTAAATATGCTTGTAAACGCATTCCAAATGATACTTTGATATGTATTGCAGCATGTGTTCTGAAAATATTTTTAATAATATATTCACAAATATATTGAATATTTAAAAGACATTTAAATATAATATTTTTTAAAGACGTACAGTATATTTGAAATGTATTTTTAAAAATATTTTTTATGTATTTTGTAATAAAAACCTATTTCAGCATGCAGTATATATATAGATAGATATATATCTATCTATATATATATATATATTTTTTTTAATTTAAATATATTGAATATGGCTAAAATTGTAGTATTTGAAATATATGTCAATATATTTGGGAAGAATATATTAAGAATGTATTTTTAAAATATATTTTTCTTCCATGTGGGAATGCTTAGACATTCATGCAATTTTTTTTTTTTTTTAAATAGACTCTTTGATATTATTTTCCCTTGCTGA